AATTATTGTTCATATCGAACAGTCCAAACATCTCCTTGAAATTCACATGTAATTGCATAGGGGGTATTCACTGAGCCTGCAGGTTCGATTTTGCCAGGGAGCGCCACCGTCGATCCGCCATCTTCGAGGTCTCGGTTTGGCTGGCTTGGGTACGCTACGCGGTCGTCCGCTGCTAGTGTGTGCTAATTTCATATCGTTGAAGCTTCGTAGAACAGAAGAGAGAAGAAAAGTTGGTCTCGGGGGCGGGCCGTTTTCTTTGTTGCCGCCGAGTACCGTGTGTAAAGGCTGAACCGCATGTAAGCAATTTGGCGAGCGACGAGACGAGCGACAGCGACGGGACGAGACGAGCGACAGCGACGAGACAAGCGACGACGACCCGCTTCGCTGTCGCTCGGTCACTCGCGCGACGTGGCAAACCGCATGAAAGCGACGGGAGCAAGCGACCAAGGCGATAAGCGACCCATTCTAGAAATCCAAAAACCGAGCGACGCGACGACCGACCGTGTCGCTCGTCGCCGACTCCCGTCGCTGTCGCCATCGCTCGCTAAATCGCTTACATGCGGTTCACCCTTCTCTGTCACTCGTCGCGTAGCTCGGTTTTGGGATTTCTAGAAAACTTAGCGCTCATCGCCTTGGTCGTGTGCTCCCGTCGCTTTCATGCGGTTTGCCTCGTCGCGCGAGTGACCCAGCGGCAGCGAAGCGGCTCGCCGTCGCTTGTCTTCCCGCTCGCCAAATCGCTAACATGCGTTTTTTAAATCGCTTGGGCTAATGAAAAATGCGCCGCATTTTTCATAAGCTGCGCACTCTGTGAGCCGCACGGTATGTTTCTGCACAGGAACGAACACCGAAGGCACGACGTATGTACGACACAGCGGCGATGGAGCAACACGGTTACACGGCCGTAGTACAGAAAATCCGCTAGAGAAAAACAATAAAGAAACTATTAAAACAAAACAAAGAGTAATCACACCGTGCTACAAAAGCACCAAAGTAGAAAAATTAGTTCTTGCAAGAGCTACCGCCGTCGGCACGGCGGGCAACACGGAGCGCTTCATGGAGCCGAGGGAGCAACGCGGCCGCGGTAAACGAGTCCGATAACGACAAAAACGAACTAAAACACACAAAAAATACTCCCACGGCGCTTCAAAAGCACCAAAGTATAAGAATAATCCCTAGTTTCGATCAAAAAGACCCTTTAAAGTTGTAAAATACTGCTAAACCACGCTCAAAAGGTCCGGCCAGATGGCATTCGCGATAGCAAGAGACCTCGAAGATGGCGACCGTGGTGGGCGATGCCAGCGAACCTAGCGAGTGACGTCAAGTGAATGTCACCTATAGGAACATTGTTTTTCTGTATCGAACTCCCATGGCGGGGACTTTCGATAGAGCGAACGAAATATGGCGGCCCGACCCGTCGCTTCTCCCTCTGTCGGATTGCACCCGCGGCGAGCACACAGGCCTGGCAGACTGCCAAGCCAGCATACGCACACGGGGATATGCAGCAAAAGAGCAGTTGTAAAAAAAAGCAACCATAAAAAAAAAAGAGGATGGCAAAAGCAAGGGGAAGGGCGCACGTAGGGGAATCCCTGACAAAAGCTCACCGGACAAAAGCCCACCGGACAGAAGCCCACCGGACAAAAGCTCACCCATTTTTTAACAGACCCGGACAAAAGCTCATTAGGAGAAAATTTCATGTTGGTCTTATAGAGAAACAAAGTCTAGAGAAAAAGTCGATGAGCCTCCTTTTGGCGAATTCGGCCACCGCGAAGCGGCGCGTACGGATAAGTCGGGTGAGTTAAATTTTTGTAGTGAGCCGCCGCAGACTGCCGCCGCAAAGCAGCAGGAGCGCAGAGGGGGCTTGGGTTAACACGCGCACCAGTGATACACGCGCGAAGTAGAAACGCCTTTTTTGAATAGCGTCCCCTTTTCGATAAACGGCATATCTCTAAACTGAGGCTCTGCTTTCTCTAAAACGTGCTTGAATAAAACATGCCCGTTCTCTAAAACATGTTTCGACGAAATGGCATTCGATCAACCGTAGTAAACCCTTGCGTGGGATGGGGTACAAGTTCACCTTAAAATGGTGAAATGTCCATCGCGTCCGCATTTTATTTTAGCCCGTGTTTCGCCTGGGTAGCAAAAACAAATGAGGTGAGCTTTTGTCCGGGTCTGGGAAAAAACGGGTGAGCTTTTGTCCGGTTACCCACGTAGGGAGGGCAGGGAGTGCCCACTGTTGGAACGATAGTGTGCGCTCTTTCCCCGAACACCACTGTCACTGCCCGAGCCCTTAACCCCAAAATAAAATAAGCAAAAAAAAGTCTTCCTCAAGTTGAGTCTGTTGACTTATTTTTGTTTACATTTTTCTTTAACCGTCTTTGCTTTGCACATTTTTTCCCTTTTTTTTTTTGTTGCTTGAACTTAGTGAGGTTTCTTTTTTGTTGCTTGCTTAACCTTGTTCTACAGAGCGAGAGTTTTTATTTTTATGCAGCTCGCTTTTTCCGTTCTTTCAATTTTTAAATTATTTTCGTGTTTTGTTGCTGGCGCTGTGTGGGAGGTCATGCCAGGCGTAAACGATTGCAAACACCGTCACGTAAATGCGGCGGTGTTGGCGATTTTCACCAACTAGGCTCTACTGTATTTAGCGGGTCCCGTTTGTCGCTGCCTTCAGTATAAGTTCAACTGGAGCTTAAGTTAACATATTTTGGTATATCAAATTATCGATATATCGAACTATTTTACGATCCCCTGTGAATTGAATAGATCCAAATTCGACTGTATTAGGCCTTTTTATCTGCGCCAGTACTCCTTCAAAACTTGGAATAATATCACATTTTTCAACATGCACGCAATTGTTAATGGCAATAAGAACCCCTCCCCCCTATGCCCGATACAATCTTTTCAAACTATGGAATAATTCAGAATTATTTCAACGTTGGGAATATCTGTTGTGAGTCACGTTTCACCGATAACAATCACGGTGACGTCGGCAGTATACGATTGCGCAGCAAAAAGTTTCGCTTACAATAGACGCTCATCGTGTTTGCGATAAAAAAATTTGAAGTTGTGGCACTTACGATATTTGGTGTGAGGGGTGTGACTTGCCATCTTTAGTGAGCTATTCGACACAAGCGGTCTGAGGAATGAAATGCAGTGATAACCTTGTCCTAACAAAGGCTCGTCCTGGAGTCTTTGCAAAGGCAAGCAGTTCCCTTCTGGCCTTACAAACTTCTTCAGAAAAGTATTCGCCCGGGCGAAAAATTTTGCCCTTCAGATTAGGCCCTTGAGGTCGGGCCGGTTTTGGGGCAAGTCTGTTGAGTTGGAGTGGGGTCAACTTTTATGGGGTAGGGCTGGGGTCAAGTCTGTGGGGTTAGGGTGGGGTCGAGTCTTTATGGGGTCCGGCCAACTTTGGGTCAAGTTTTTGTCAGTCCGGAATGAGTGAAGCCTTTATTGGGCCACGTTAAACTTGGGTCGAGTCTCGGTCAGGCCGGAGTCAGGTCACCTCCCTACGGATTGGGGCCAAGTCTTGGTCAAGTTTGTCAGGTTGAGGTGGGAGTCAAGTCTTTGTCTTTGCAGCACGGGGCCGATTTGAGGCAATAGGTGACATTCACTTGACGTCACTCGCCAGGTTCGCTGGCATCGCCCACCACGGTCGCCATCTTCGAGGTCTCTTGCTATCGCGAATGCCATCTCTCCGGACCTTTTGAGCGTGGTTTAGCAGTATTTTACAGCTTTAAAGGGTCTTTTTGACCGAAACTAGGGGTTATTCTTATACTTTGGTGCTTTTGAATCGCCGTGGGAGTATTTTTTGTGTGTTTTAGTTAGTTTTTGTCGCTATCGGACTCACTTACCGCGGCCGCGATGCTCCCTCGGCTCCATGAAGCGCTCCGTGTCGCCCGCCGTGCCGACGGCGCTAGCTCTTGCGAGAACTAATTTTTCTACTTTGGTGCTTTTGTAGCACGCTGTGATTACTCTTTGTTTTGTTTTGCTAGTTTCTTTATTGTTTCTCTCTAGCGGATTTTCTGTACTACGGCCATGTAACCGTATTGCTCCATCGCCGCTGTGTCGTACATACGTCGTGCCTTCGGTGTTCATTCCTGTGCAGAAACATACCGTGCGGCTAACAGAGTGCGCAGCTTATGAAAAATGCGGCGCATTTTTCATTAGCTCAAGCGATTTAAAAACCGCATGTAAGCGATTTAGCGAGCAAGAAGACAAGCGACGACGACCCGCTTCGCTGCCGCTCGGTCACTCGCGCGACGAGGCAAACCGCACGAAAGCGACGGGAGCACACGACCAAGGCGATGAGTGCTAAGTTTTCTAGAAATCCCAAAACCGAGCTACGCGATGAGTGACAGTGAAGGGTGAACCGCATGTAAGCGATTTAACGAGCGATGGCGACAGCGACGGGAGTCGGCGACGAGCGACGGAGATTTCTCGCGGTCGGTCGTCGCGTCGCTCGGTTTTTGGATTTCTAGAATGGGTCGCTTAATTATCGCCTTGGTCGCTTGCTCCCGTCGCTTTCATGCGGTTTGCCACGTCGCGCGAGTGACCGAGCGACAGCGAAGCGGGTCGTCGTCGCTGTCGCTCGTCTCGTCCCGTCGCTCGCCAAATTGCTTACATGCGGTTCAGCCTTTACACACGGTACTCGGCGGCAACAAGGAAAACAGCCCGCCCCCGAGATCAACTTTTCTTCTCTCTTCTGTTCAACGAAGCTTCAACGATATGAAATTAGCACACACTAGCAGCGGACGACCGCGTAGCGTACCCAAGCCAGTCAAACCGCGACCTCGAAGATGGCGGATCGACGGTGGCGCTCCCTGGCAAAATCGAACCTGCAGGCTCAGTGAATACCACCTATACATTGTCGGGCCGGGTTCGGGTCGAAGCTTGGTTGGGCTGGGGTCAGGGTGGGCTAGGCTCAATTCTTTGTTGAGTCGGGTCCCCAAATTTTGGCCAGATCCCTAACTGCAGCGACGTGTTTACATCCCCCAACGCCACAGCTGATGAAGCACAGCATTGCGGACACTCACATGGACGAGCTGGGCAACCTGGACTTTGGGCGCTCCCAGCACGGCTCTGGCATGAGCCGACCCGCCCAGGCCAAGGCCCTGGTGCGGGCCTTGACGGCGGAGTCGCGTAAGAACGGAGTCCGTATCTACACGTTGGCCCAGCTGAGCTCCATCGCGCGGGACAAGTGCGGCGTCGACGCATCCGGGGTGCACAGATTGATCGACAGCCTCAACGACCAGGGGTTCCTGCTCAAGAAGGGCGCCAAGACGTACCAGCTCCAGACAACAGACTTCTGATGCCCCGTGGCCTCTGCCCACAGGAACTCGCAGCCCATTTTCATAAGGGTTGTCAGTTGGTGACCACATCTCAAGGATAAGAGGTCTCAAACGCGGCTGATATTTATTGACAAAAATCATCTTTATTTAGGCTTTAGACACCATCAAAGGAAGGGGACAAAGAACAGCCTTTGCACAAATGCACGTCTGCAAAACAGAGTAACGTGAATTTGAAAACCTAAAAATGGAGCCTTTTTTAGCTTCTTTCTAGTCGAGTTCTTTTGTCATTCGCATTCAAGTTACTATGTTTTGCACATGTGCGCTTGTGGAAAGTTTATACTTTCTTTGGTGTGTCCCCTTTTGTTTAAAACTCCCTAGACGGGGGTCTGTCATGTTCACCTTTTGCAACCTACCATTCTATTCAAGGGCTGTAAGTTGGCAGTTATAGTAGTAACTAACAGCTGTATGCTAGGGGTTGGAATGCTTGGCAGTTCTAATGGTAACTTGCATCTTGAGAAGTTGCAATGGTTAGTTTCTGGGACAGTAACTTTTTTAGGAGTCTCTCGAGGGACACACTTGTAAGTTAGAGAATGGAGTTATAATGCTTGTAAATGTTCTCAAAATAATTGGGCATAATAAACTTGTTTTTACTGCAAAAGACCGATTTGCCTTCAGCATTCTGTTCCATGTGCTTTGTTTTGTTGGTCACATTTTCAGTTTTTGTTCGCCTGTGCGGCCAATTTCGTCGCATTCTTTTGGAGGTATTACTGTGGAGGATTCTGCTCCATGTTTCCACGCGTGTAGTCACTTTGCTCGGTACATGCCTCATCTTGTCAATAATGGATGGCAAACTTTGCTGAGAGCAACATCCTAACTGTAGTTCCCATATGGTCACAATCAGGGATGGGCAGTATTTTAAATACAAGTATTTGAAATACGTATTTCAAATACTTTGTGTATTTGGGATTTGTATTTCATTACAAATTGGCTAATGTATTTGACGTGTATTTAAATACTAAAACGTGGGTATTTCAAATACAATTGTAATTAAATACAATTTTGTGGGCGAAAATACATTCCTCAAATTTATTGTCACTGTCCAGAGCAGGAAGAAAACTACGTTCTGCACCGAATGCAGTGTCTGTCCATCAAGCACAAGCGTTTAGTGACTTTGTGATTACAGTGCTAGTCCAGGGCAAGAATAGTGACGAAATCGATGTTCACAGGCAGACTGGCTAAATAAGTGCCTGTGACAACTTGGGATGCTTTCCAGCCTGATTCCCATCCATATTTTTGCCTGGAACATTCTAAATCCGCGGGTCATCCAGATTTTCGTAACTGGTGCGAGTTGCAACAATAAAAAATTCTCTAGCTAGTGCTGCGCGTCTTGGTCGTCTCGGTTTTTTGTTGGTCTATACCAAAATGTAATCGACAAAAAAAGCTGCTTGAAGCTCCATACTTTTTTCACCTATTACATCCAAGCTGATTACATTTTTTTTTTTGTGATAATATTTCTTTTACGTTACTAGAGCCTCGCACACTAACTCCCGAGTGTGCGATGCAAAATTAAAATGAGATACCCAGAAACCCGTTGCAGGTGCCCTGAAGTCGATGACGCAAATTTTAGGGAATGTATTTCGAAAAGTATTTGGAGGAGATCAAATACATTTGGTTGTATTTGTATCTTGTACTTAAATACTTTTTTGGAAATGTAATTAGATTTGTAATTAAATACATTTTTGACGAAGTATTTTGTATTTGTATTTCGATACATATTTGCATGTATTTTGCCCATCCCTGGTCACAATGCAGTGTTTCAGCATAATTAGAAGCCAATTAGCGACTAAGCATGTGGCAGCTCTCCGCAACAGCGATACATTGTCCTCACCTTTTCACTGGGTCTTTACTGCTGGTATGGGTGCCTTCTACATTGTCCCAATGAATTGAACGCCCCGTGTGTAATTTCTGGCCAAACAAAGACCAACAAACTTATCAGACTCGACTTTGTGAAACGTATCAACAATCTTTATTTTCGGCATCTCAAAAGTCACATTTTGTCGGGAGCCCGACAGAATCGGGTACTTTTCTGTGCGTATCATCTGCGCAAGAAGTTTGCACACCCAACTGCCTGAACCGGCAGCACATGACCAACATTTCAGCGGGCCACAGCCACTAATGACTCCAATTAAAGAGCTTCCAAACAAGTCCATCGTTTCATTTGGGCAAAATTTCTTATTTTCGTCCGGCTTGGCAGACGTCTGCCGAGGTAGTCAAATGCATGGATGTTGCACCGGTGAAACCAGTGGACACAGCTCGCAGTCACATGAGCTTGACCTTTCCAAATGACACCTTGAGAAAATCTAGCAGCGATGTAAACCGCCCTACGAGAAACTCAGAAAGTGGTTTGGCCCTGAGTAGGACTATCCATTCTGAAACAACCCGAGAAATACGAGAGTTGACACTAGGAGAAGACCTTCTCTCGGTGTCAGCTTTTGTATTCCTTGGTCTGTTTCAAAATGTTCAGTATAGACCAGCTCCCACATGCTCCCTTAGAATCTGCTGGATTATCTGTTAGCCTTTTCCTGCGTTGGGAGTAATCATCGGAACCAATTTCAGCATTGGCAGTTTTGTAGAATCAAGTGGTTTCCTGTGGGCGCGCAGATAGGGAAATTTCTGTGCTCTAACAACCTCATTAGAATAAACAAAAACCTGGTAACATTTATTTTCCGTGGGTTGCAAAAATATTGCTACAAAGTCTTTACCCATGTTCACTGGTGTGCCAAGGAGAAGCAACGAAACAGGAGTCCTCCATGTGTTCGATAATACAAGCTACGGACAGAGGTGAAAGTAAATATACAACCTTTACAAACAACATTTCTTTTATGCATTCCTCGTTCAGTTGGCGGCACGATTTTTATGTTGTCTCGTCGGGAGGACGTGCCTCAATGGGTTCGAGGGCCGACGCCTCGACAACGTCAACGCAGCGTGCAGCTCTAGACTGTTTCCTGCCTGATAGTTACAGCTCAAAACGAGGAGGCTTTCAACTGCTGCTTTGAGGCGAGACATTTTATGCCTCGCATGAAATCCAACACGCCTTTCTTTCTAAGCAGTGCTAAGCTCTCCAGCTGTATCTCTTGTTCAACTATCATTGCTTTTGCCTACGCATGCTTTAAAAGCCTCCTGGTGAGCCCCTGATTTTCGGATGTTTGCTTACAACTTTGGGCCTTTAACTGTTCAGAACATTCTTTGCCATATGTAGGGTCTCCAAAGCCCTCACACTTGAATAGCTCCAAACATGTCCAACAAGAAGCAAGGAGCAGGCAGCAAACAAACAGAATTTGTGGCTCTATTTTGATTTAGAGGTTACCTGTGGTATGCAGAATTGCACCATACAAGAACATTGTAAGATGCAATCTCACAACGTCCTTTCAAGAACATCTCTCTTTCCTCGCGACGACACCGAGAAAGTGCAGAGAGGCAAGGGAGCTCCGTGCGGGGCGTTCAACACACGGGCGTCACGAGTGTTTGACTGCGAGGCCACACGTGCCATGCATCTCAATTCCTGATTCCGCACAAATAGAGGACTTTGTTTGGGAAATGCTCTAAAAGCAGTTGCTTCCTTCTGCCCGTTGAAGGAAGCTCCCGACATTAGTGTATAGGCTATAGCTTGGAGCGCATCTCGCCCATGAGCCTGTCGAGCTTCATGGCCATGGGCAGGTCCCCCTTGAGGGCGAGCTTGCCCGACATGAAGGCGCTGGTCGGGTTCAGCTTGCCCGTGAACATTTTGACGAAAGTGTCGCGCTCCAGGCAGAAGGTGACGTCTGCCTTGCCCTTGGGCGGGTCCCCCTTGCCCACGGACCCCTTGCCGTTCTTCAGGTCCACGTACCACTTGCTGGGCTCGCCTGCAAGCACCGCTCGAGTGAGCGACAACAAACGCCTCCTTCCGCAGCGAACAAAGCATCTGCCGGTCCATAAACCCCCCAAAAGCGAGCCAGTTTAGTCAAAATAAATGAGAAAAATGCTAGCTTCTAACACTTTATTTTGTGTAGACCTTAGCCACGGGGCTTTCTTTCGCAGCTGCGCCCCCTCGTTTCCTTATCGAGTGTTCATCGAGGAATGCCGGGTTTTGCTTTCTTTCGGCTAATAATGCCAATTTCCCGTCTGTCTGCGGGCAGCCTAAAGGAAACGCCTTCCAAAGAAAAGAAACGTGGAACCCTAGAAACCCTGCTACAATAGTTCTCATATTTGAACAAAGGGCGTTTGAGGAACCTGGTGATACACTTCGCGATTACCCATGTTTCTAGTCGTATCCATAACGCATAAAACGTTACGAGCGACCGAGTGTGTTTAAAAATGGTTGTTTCACCCAACATTGGCCCAACTTTCTGTGTGCAAAAACTATGCATCGCGCAGAAACTGATTTGCTGGATTAGTTGATGCTAATGGGTCTATTTAGTGAGGCAGATAGCGGGCAACTGAGTCCGTAGTTAGCTTTGTATCTTTTAGAATTAGTAGAATTAAATGCAGTATAGTTCCAATTTGAAAGACCATCGTCGAAGGTCGGTTTATAAATACTTGGAGCAGGTGGTGGCACGCATAAGTCAATGCTACGGGCACGAGGCTGGCCGAGCGAGGCAGAAAAACTGAGGCTTAAGATATTTCTGAAATTGACTCACTCAGTTGTCTTTGACGATGCCTGGTATGTTTCTATTTGCAATCATATCTTCATTTTATTACTTGAAAAGTTGGTTACCAAAAACTAACTGACAACTCTATCCAATATGCCCGAAAAACGAGTCTCCTTGACAAGGACTAATTTGGTTCCAATCTTAACTGTGTGCAATGCGTAGTTCTTGCGTGAAAATTGTGGCTAACGTTTAGCGGGACACACTGTGTCAATGGTGGCCAGAGTAATTATCCTACGGGGATTTAGGAACCGCACCAACCTTTCACGTCGAAGACGAAGACTCCACCGATTTGGTTGACTAGGTCGTCGTTGACGTAGACAGAAATCATGTTGAAGACGCCTTCCACTGACTCGGCTGACACGACAGGAGCGGCCATGGTTGACTCGTTGCTTGCTGCAGCACCAGAGGGATCATCTTAGGAGGAGTTATTCAGATCTAGAGACGCTTTGCCGACGACGCAAATGTGTACACTACTATCACACCTGCATACCCAACAAGTTAAGAGTCTGCATTTGGGTTCCTGAATTCGGAGCTGTTTTTGCGGAGTTTATTTTTTTCTCACAGGTTTGCTGGTAATTTTCGGTGATGGACAGAAAATCTGTTTCTCGGGGCTTATGCTGATGAAAACGAGATTCCCCCGACCTCCAGAGACCCAAATACTTGCAAAATGTTCTGGGATCCAGGGGAGAAAAACAAAATTAGAGTTGTGGTTCCCCCCAAAAGAGTAGCAGCAACAAATCAGTGCTGTTTTGAATGAACACATTAAAGAGCTGTAGAATATAACGATTTTCTTCCAGTGAAGCTTCGGTTTGTCTTTTTCAAGGACAGCTGCCATTCCAAGTTTTTTATTTACCCCGATTTGAATAAAACCGGCTAGGGGTTAATTTGTGGAGTTTATCGGTACATACCCAAAACGCAAAACCCTAGTTACTAGCGAGTGCCTAGTTCTATGCACGATACAACCGGCTCTGTGCCATGCAGCTGAAGCGACGAGCAAATTACGAGTAGCTTTGCTCGTGAAACAATGATGTTTAGAAAACTGTTTTTCCTGTTGAGCTCTACATCATGTATTCAATTTAGAATGTGCTTGAGTAAATGTATCGAATTATATTTTTGTGAGAAGTCTAAGATCAGGAGTAAGATCAACACCAAACTTTGTTTACTTAAATATGTTTGAATAACAATTAAATAACCTCAAAACTGGTCATTATCACTGCTGGAATATCGCATCAAATATCTGACAAATACACAAAAAAGAGATATTAAACAAACCTCAGTAGGATTACAGATGTTTTTTTTTTTTAACCTACTTTGGTGTCAAATGTTGACCTAGAGGTAAATGCAAATTGGTGTTAAAAAGAAATTTCTCCTGACCCCAAGCACTTTATCCATTGGTTGCTATTAAGGCGATACTTCAACAAAATATGAAATCCACAATGTTCGTAAGTGACACTCGGATGTTTGTATTTTGAGCACGATGGCTGTATATCAACGGCCCACTCTGGCAAGCGGTCGGAGAGCAGCCAGCGGAAAGCACGTCACATCCGGCGCAATCGTGACGTAGATTGTCTCGAGACGAGCCAAGCTGCAGCGAGGCTGACGTCGACAGGATGTCCTGGCCGTTCCGGCCACCAAATATGCCGAAGCAGCAATTGGGCCACCGCAACCCCGAATCTGCTTTTCTACGAATTTCTAGTGACGTTGTAGAGGGACAATAGCGATGTCTGGGGCACACAAAAGAGAGTCCCGGTGAGAGGGAAGTCCTCCTTCCCCTCTTCTCTCGTGGTGGCCGGAGAGCTGGCGATAGGATGGCAGGTTCAAGGCACGTAGAGATCTAGGCGAAACAGGCATCGTCACTACCCGTCAAGGTTCCTAGACGGGCATTAGAAACGGAGCTTTAGCAACATCCACCAGGTGCCCTTTGCTGATCGTTTGTTTTAAAATTCCTGGCGTGTCCAATGTGGTACTGCTCTCTTGACCACGTATAGACCAAAAAAAATAAGCTCCGAAATTTTGTTGTAGTATCCCTTTAATAGTACCGAGACCCTTGAAATGACATCCGTGCGGCGTCATTGTTCATCGTTGTTCAACCTTCCGTTTGCTCACAAAAGCGCCAGAGCCAGAGTTCGAACGAGAGCAGAAAAAAATTTCAGCATGAAAACGTCCCCAAGTGTGGTAGGCAGGTAGACGCACTGATCTCTATGACAAATGCTGAATCGTGCCATCGCGCTTCCCCATACTTGCCCGCTCCACGAGTGCGGCCACCCGACGGCCATCTTGCATGCAGCGAAATTCTGTTTTTGGGGCGTTGCAGAGGCTGGTGGGCAGCATGCTGTAGACATGTTTTCTACTCGTTCTTTATCATTCGCAGATGTCCTTTAAAACCCCGTGCAAGCCGTGAAACTTGCCGTTGAGAACACTCGGAAATCAGTACTGCTGGAAAAAGGGGCACAACTCGTCGAAAGCAAGTTTTGCCTGTGTCGCGACATGATAAAAGCTTCCCTGGCATGCCGAAGTGCTGCGTCTCTGTGCCTTTGCACACTTGGATACCGATCAACAATCGGCGCTGTGGCAAAAGTTTTGAAGTTGTGCTGAGGTTAGATTTCTTTGCATCATATATCGGGCACAAAGTTCTGGATCGTCCAGCTGTTCCAGCAAGTTGCTAACAATAAAGGGAAAAACACATCTGCGTGGTTGCTGTTATGCACTGTTAACCACGGCTATGTTTCAAATCTACTCTAATGGATCACATGGCAGCACAAATAGAACAATGCTGTGGAGCAAGAAAGGTTTTCAAAAGTCTGCCCCCCCCCTTCCTTTTCCGTTGCCCACTGGATGCAAAAATACTCCAAAAGCCGGGAGATGTCATAATTAATATAAGAGCACGGACTTAACACAACAGAATAATAAATTTCATTAGACGTTTCGCCTCCCGTGCAGGAGGCATCTTCAGTAGTTACAAAGCAAATGCAAGATTCAACCTCAAGTCAACGCTATCTATCACGAATGTCCGTATTAGCTTTATGGAGAGGGCCGCGGTTTTTGTTACACACGGATGTGTCCCTGCGAACAAACCATGATTCTAGGAGCTTCCGGAGCCCCCATCTGTCCTCCCTCTCCAAGGTCGTCGCGGCCGGAAAGTCAAAAGAATCCCCCATTGTCCACGCATGGTCCACCAGTTCAGTCTTCAGCCGCGTCACGTGGGATGCGTACGTGACTACATGCTTGTGTTCTTCGAGTCTGGTCTCTCTCCTCCGTCCGGTTTCACCAATGTAGGACGCTGGGCAGTCACTGCGGGGGATCTTGTGGATAACCCCTCTCTGGACGTTCGCCGGGGTTGGGTCCTTTGGTTTAGAAACGGAATTTCCAATAGTTCTGTACGGCTTGAAAACAGTTCCAATGCCAAGGAGCCTCAAAGCGCGACTGAGAGGTTTGGAGGCTCCTTTGACATAGGGGATGCACACCACATTCTTATCACTTTCCCTTTTGCACGGTTGCACATTTTGTTTCATTTGGTTTTTGACCTTGTCAACAAAACGCTTTGGTAGTGACATTTCACTAAAGCTCCCTGTAAATGAGTCATCTCATTTGTGCCATGGAGCTCGTTAGATGGCACGGTATTTGATCTCTGTACAAACGATCGCACTACTGATTTCTTGTGTTGCACTGGATGACGGGGCAAAAAATCCGAAAAATTATCTGTTTCACATGGTTTGCGCTGCGCACCCGTTTCAATCCTGTGCTTCGGTTCGCCTGTCCTCATTACAGATACATCTAGGAAGGGCAACTTGCCCTGCTGTTCTGCCTCGCAAGAAAACTGTATCGCGGGGTGAACACTGTTTAACTCCCGGTGAAAATCGTTAGCGTGACTTTTATCTAAAATGACACTTGCCACTGGGTCAAGCTCGTTTCTGAACTCGAGTGCTGCAAGTTACGAATACAGTCGTCCGAGTAAAGTGAAACGCTGCTCCAGAGGCACATACGGCTTCACGCGCATTGCACTCGCAAGACACATCCACACGACGTCGATTCTTGATCGGTATCCAAGCGTACGCACGTGCGAAGGCACAGAGACGCAGCACTGCACTTCGGCGTGCCAAGGGAGCATGATCACTCCACGAGGTCGGCGAAACTTGCTTTCGACGAGTTGTGCTTATTTCTTCCAGAGCTGTGCTTTCGCAAACCTTTCCACGTGTTCTCAAAGGTCAGTCTCGCCGTTTTCTCGGGGGTTTAAGAAACTTTTTCAGCCTCTGCAACGCTCCAAAAACAGCATATTGGTGCAAGCACGACGGCCGTCCGGTGGCCGCGCTCGTGCTGCAAAGTCCAAGTAACAAGCTGATCGACTCACGCAAAAGGTCACTTATCAATCAAGATAAGCCCTCATTATGACAAAATCAGAGTTCCCGTCGGCGCTTCCTGCGAAGTCTGTTCTGCTGTCTTACCAAGGCGCAGCGAGGGAAAGAGCGCGTTCAGGAGGAACCCACCGAGTCGGTCGGCATGCAGACACGGCAAAGCGCCCTTTCAAAGCGAGCAATGAGCAATCATTTGGCCGAGAACGGGTTTCCTCGCCGCGCAGAAAGCAGCGCTCATTTCGAACGTCTCGCCCACCGCCGAGCTTCTCAATCGCTATGCCAAGGACGATGGGTTATGCAAGCAGGACGCGGACCAAAGCGGGGAAAGTGCTGTCCCCCTTTTACCTTTGCTTGGCATGTCGTAGCACGGTTTACTGCGCTCGCTGGCGCGCTCCGATCTCTACGTACGCAGAAAGATTTTCCGAGCGAACGGGTCAAGGTCTGAGGAGAGCGTGGTCATATGATTCTGCGCTATCGGTTTGTTTTCGATAGCGTCCGCCGGCGGGGGCGGTTGGCCGGTGGCGCATCTTTGTGTCGGAAATACGGGAAATACAGAAGGTCCGCCAGGTCCGGTGTCAAAATATCTCAACCAGTGTTGCCAGACGGAGAAAAAAAAAGTCAGTAGATTTGCACAAACATCAGTAGATTCTACGAAATCTGTGTTTTGCCATGTTTTACTATTTCCATTAAACCACACTTCGAAGAAATGCTATAGAGTAACAAATAGTATGATAATGCACACAGATAAAAAAAGAAAAAACAAGACAACTAAAGTTTACTTTTTTTTTTTTTTTATAGAAGACAAAGTAAAATAACACCGTGAATGTTTTTTTTTTTTTTTTAATTATTATTAGCATTGAGTGGTGTTGCGATTTTGAGGATTATTTTGAAATCCAGACTGAGCTACTTTTGGGATCAACAAATTAGTGCGACCCACCTGTCACTATTATTGAAACGAAACCAAAACAAGACGTTCCGGTAAGTGCGCGCGTACATGTCCAATAAAGGTCTTCTTTTCTTACTGGGCTGTAGAAGGTTTTTGACGCAACATTGATGGCGCGGAGCACTCTGTTGAGGCTACGCGTCGTCTGCTACGGGCTTATTTTTTCTTCCCCCTGACCCAAAGTTTGCGTTCAAACGTGGAGGAACTTAATTCGTTATCTTTTTCAGCCACCGAGGAATAACATTAGATCATTTTCTTGCCAAAGCCTGCCAAACAAAACTAAAGAACTGAAATATGGATGTCAACCCCACGCATTGCGCCGGGCGAATGAATGAAAAAGGCGGCCTTCTCCAGCTCGGAGCAGACTAGAGCAGACGAGAGTTCAGGCGCATGCGCTCACGCCTCTCGCTCTGCGCCGCCGGCTGATTGGCTCACTCGGGAAAGGGACGTTACGGCGGCGAGATCATAAACTGGCCAAACTCTCTCCATATATGGCTCTGGCCCGGATGTCACCGTCGACGGGCTTTTGGGTCATCTAGCCAGTGCTTTGTTTTAATTCAGGGAGAATATGAGTCTCCTTTGATGGGCAACCCTGGGTACTGAAGGGGCGAAATAATAAATTTTAATACTTAAAAAAAAAGTCAGTAGATTTTTTTTTTTCAGATAATCAGTAGACCCGGAGCGAAATCAGTAGATCTACTGATAAACCAGTAGACCTGGTTTATCACACTGATCTCAACATTTATTTCGACGTCTGTGACGTCACTTCCGTAAAGTCCAAATAGGGTCTTTATTATTTCGACGTCCTCCAATGCAGCCGTCGCAGTGGTAGCCAGCAGTTTTGTGGTAGAGTATCATCTCTGTTTAGTTTCTGATGGTGGCGTGTAGAAGTTTTGACGGATCGATGTGTTCGTTGGCAGTTGAGACGTGTGTGGGCACTGGGGACTCGCTCCACAGTTGATCCTTCGGACGTGACACGCCCAGTGGCGATGTTCTCGGTATTCTGAGCTCGCATCTCGGCACGCGTCTCACATCTCCATATAGAAATTGTCCCCCCCCCCCCCCCCCCCCCCCACAAAAAAAAAAAAAGAAATACACGTTTTTTTTTTATTACGAAAATAAACTAGGCATTGCTGAACGCTCATTCTCCACCCAAAGGTAGCGCTAGAGGTCCCAACCAGATGCCAAAGTTTCAGCCCGATCCGATAACTTATTCAAAAGTTATAAGTGATTTTTGGAAAAGATCAATGGGAAAATGGCGGCCGACAGAGTTTTCGAGTAGATGGTGCTCTCATAGAGTTATTATAATGTACGCTAGAGGTTCAACTGGCGCTAGTGTCTATGCAACTTCCGGGAGGCAAATTGAAGCAGACAGCAACCAGTCTACTTTTGCGGTGCTCCTGTGCATTCCTATGGGAAAACGCGCGTGAAATTTGTCTCCTCGCCGGAAAATAACATGAATAACTTTTATCATTTCGGTTGTACCGGATAGTATGTACCTTTAATAATATTGTAAAAAGAGTAATTGCTTTAATTACAGCATTTTTCTTTATCACTGAACGATGTTAAGCTTCGCTATATTTCAGGCCCAAACCTATGTTCCATGGCAGGTATGTAAAAACGAGCGACGATTCTAAGCAAACTAACGATCGAAAAGAATGTAGAGTGTATTCAAGGTTCGCTAGCATTGCGGGGGCGCTTATATATTGCTAATATGCCCGTCCTGTCACTCTATGAAAATGACTCCATCGTGCTTCTTTAAGACGGTTAAAAAACATTTGAATGTAAGAAATAAAGTACGTGGACTACGAAAGGTGTGCTTTTTTATTATTTCCTATGTCGGGCAGTTTTTATCGGGCACCTATTCTCTGACTGCTCCCTATTTGCAAAGATTTGGAGCGTGCGGCTGATGATTTGAACCCAGAACAAGCATCTTCGCACATATTCACGAGCAGAAAGAATAAAGCAGTACTTATTTATTGCATATCTGACTACTAGTATATTACGTGGCTTTCAATTTATTTTGATCGTCTACATGCATAAGGAGTTATTTATCCAGTGTTACTGCGTAGTTCTTGCCGTCTCTCTTGGTTTTTCACATGTAATTCGTTCGTTTGGGCACGTATATCCCCCATGGCGTAAAGCGCCGACGCCGTGTTCGCGCTAGCAGTGTCCGACAGTGCACATAAATACACGTACGAAGCGGTTTTAACACCGTTTTTCATGCCACGAATTTCAAATAAAAATGCTGAGCTGACCAGTTATTTCGTCTGCGTGACTGAGAAATGTTCCAATGTGCCTTGTACGTACAAAATATTCGTGATATCTGCTCTTATAATCGAGCGCAGAGAGAAAATGCACTCGCTTTTTCCCATAGAAATGCATGACCGGAAGTCAATTTCGGACTGGTTGCTGTCTGCTTCAATTTGCAGCAGCACACTAGCGCCAGTTGAACCTCTAGCGTACATTATAATAACTCTATGGGTGCTCTACGGCACCAGAAACCGAAAACGGGCAAAAATGGGCTCCATTTTCCCATTGAAATTTTCAGAAAATCACATAACTTTTGAATAAGGTATCGGATCGGGCTGAAACTTACTGACACGGGCGGCCTTTTACCAACAATGACTGTTGTGTTGACATATGGAGTCTTCACCGGAAGACTTGCCGCACTTCCCAACAGGCAAACCGACGTATGGTGGCATCTGGTAGTGACCTCTAGAGCTGCCTTTAGGTTGAAAATGAGCGCTCGGCGATGCCTAGTTTATTTGTGCGATAAAAAAAAGAAAGCCTTTTACAACTCCCTGTAACACCGAATTCAAGCGCAGCTCTTGAGGAGGAGGGAAGGGGTTGAGGGGAGGGTATGCCCCTCCTCCCTCCTCTTCACCTCGTGATCCTGCCTGCTATTCCTCCTCCCCCTCCTTCTCCTTCACCTCCTCCTCCTCATCTTTCAACCTCCTCCCCTCGTCTCCTCCTCAAGGGGGCTGTCACGTGACCTGAGGGGTCACGTGACCTCACGGTTGCGCCGACGGCGACGCCGACACCGCTCAAGCCGGAATCGGGCGCCTAAGAGCTGTGCTCTAGAAAAAATCCCTGTAAATTTTTGTTGTGACACCCTGTACAACGAAGGCGAGCTGGATATCCCTCTGTCTTACTTGTACATAACAAATGAGAGTGCGTAGACTACGTAAAGTAACACTGAGGAATTTGGCATGCTTTCGTGTTCGTATGGTTGCAGCCTCGCTTTGCATCTGGCTCCCGCCCTGTTCTTAACCGGGTTTCGTGAGTTCGTTGTTTAGTTTTTGTTTGGTTCGTGTGAAACGAGTGGGTCAGCTGCGAAACGATCGGGATGTTAAATAAAAGGTTGTGAATGCAAACAGTGCCACCTTAATATGTTTCTTGACCGGTGCGAACGGACAAAGGTTTTGGCGCGATTGTATACACACGCATTTTCCAATCAACTGCAACTTTTTTGGCATGGAATTCAGCTCCTTTGTCTACGTAAATTACGTGAAATAAATCGTGAAAAGCATCGGTTCCGCACATAGAGTTATTATAATGTACGCTAGAGGTTCAAGTGGCGCTAGTGTGCTGCTGCAAATTGAAGCAGACAGCAACCAGTCCGAAATTGACTTCCGGTATTGCATTTCTATGGGAAAAAGCGAGTACATCTTCTCTCTGCGCTCGATTAGAAGGGCAAATATCACGAATAATTCGTACGTACTAGGCACATTGGAACATTTCTCAGTCACGCAGACAAAATAATTGGTCACTTACGGCGTTTTTATTTTAAATTCGTGGCCTGAAAAACGGTGCTAAAACCGCTTCGTACGTGTATTTATGTGCACTGTCGGACACTGTTAGCGCGAACACGGCGTCGGCGCTTTCCAGCATGGGGGTATACGTGCCAAACGAACGAAGGACATCTGGAAAACCAAAAGAGACGGCAAGAACTTTGCAGTAACACTGGATAACTAACTCCTTGTGCATGCAGACGATCTAAAGAAATTGAAAGCCACGTAATATAGTCCGATTTCCATTAAATAAGTACTGCTTTATTCTTTCTACTCATGTGCGAAGATGCTTGTTCTGGGTTCAAAGCATCACCCGCACGCTCCAAATCTTTCCAGATAGGGAGAAGCCAGAGAACAGGTGCCCGATAAAAGCTGCCCGTCATAGGAAATAATAAAGAGACACACCTTTTGTGGCCAACGTACTTTATTTTTTATGTTCAAATGTTTTTTAACCGATCGTAAAAATGCGCACGACGGAGTCATTTTCATATAATGATAGGACGGGCATATTAGCAATATATAAGCGCCACCGGAATGCTAACGAAGCTTGAACACACTCTGCATTCCTTTCGATCGTTATTTTGCTTAGAATCGTCACTCGTTTTTGCATACCTGCCGCGGAACAGAGGTTTGGGCCTGAAATATAGCGAAGTTTAACATCGTTCAGCGGTAAAGAAAAATGCTGTAACTAATGCAATTACACTTTCACAATACCAATAAAGGTACATACTATTCGGTACGACAGAAATAACAAAACTTATTCATGTTGTTTTCCTGCGAAGAGACAAAATGCACGTGCGTTTTCCCATAGGAATGCACAGGAGCACCGCAAAAGTAGGCTGGTTGCTGTCTGCTTC